TCTCTCTCTTTCTCTCTCTCTCTCTCTTTCCCTCTCTCAAATTCTGTTTAATGACAGAATTCTTAACAGTAAGAATTCCATCTTTCTTCTACTACTGCTACAATAAAAATGATGAAGATTTTAATTATCAGAATTTGCAAAATCAGCAAATTTGGAGAAAAATCATTAAAACTTGGGTATAAAAGTTCTTCTCCATAATGTAGCACAGAAACCTGATTAGGTCATTGACAATGAATGTCAAATTGCTCAATGATTGTCAACTACAGCAGGCACTGGAGATAAATAAACAACCTGAGAGAAGTCTTGAGTAAGCGTTTCGCTCATCAAGGCATGCATACTGACCCAAATATTAATGGTATGTTATGTATTTCCACTACTGTATTTTTCCACAAATAACAAACCTTTTCTTTCAAGATACTATGCCTGCCATAAAACAATAAATATCAACCACAGAGAAGAAAACAATGACTCCCATGGAAGGAGAGAAAATAAAATGCGAAGACACAGAGGCTCTACAGTTAGACGGAGAGAAGTTTGTAACTTGGAAACAAGAAGACAGGACCATGCCAAATGGACCTAAGTCCCCAAGGTGATAGTGTAATCATGTGTCCCAAGCCTGTGCTGCTGGGAAGAGAGAGCCCAGTTCATCTGTAGTTAGTTGGCCACTGAGTTTTACAGATCTTTTATTGTGAATTAGGATGCTCTTGAACCCGTGTTTTTCCAACTAGACATCCTAGGTCCACAATACTCAGAAGGTTCTCTTGAGGAGGAAGGAGAACACTCGCTCTTTTAAGGGGACATCCCCACTAAAGGGCCTGTTCCACACTGACCATTCTTCCCAACTCATTTGACCTCGGCACCCAGTTTTATACAGTACCTTCCAGAGACCTCTTTCTGTGAAATTTCCCTTTATAAAATAAGATCAGACCACTAGAAAGAACCAATTTTAAAATTAGATCTGTGTGCTGAGAATTCGTCCAGCAAATATATTATGAAGCCCATTTATGCTTCCATCAAAGGACCTGTTTTCGTCAATCAGTCTTCCCAATAGAAAAGTTCATAATGCATAAAGAATTAAAAGCAAATTTGGCCTTCACATTTCTATCTAATTAAATATTTGAAGAAATCAAGCAAGCACTTATGAACTTCCATGACTCAGGTAATGCATGTAGCCCTCTCAACTCCTAATTATGTATGGAGCTGTAGTCTATAAAATTGAGTAAATTGTCTGCTTGAGTGAATTATCTGCTTAGGAGTCTTCCACGTTGACCTTTGTGGTCTCCTTGGGCCTTTGAGTGCGCGTAACTACACTACAAAGCTATATTTGATTTCTTTTTTTTAAAAAACTGTAATTCATTCTCTTTTTCCTTTCCATCTAGCATGAATAATCAAGAATTCATGGTATTATGGATTTTTAAATGTCAGGAATTGTAAAGCTGTCTTGCCTATTACAGTAAAACTTCATTAGAGGCTATCATGTATTCAAAGTAGTGTATAATTCAAAGCAGCTGCGCATCCCAGTGCCTCGCCTCCAGATGTACTATTGTCCCTTAAATAAAAGGATCATACAATCCAAGGACTCTAGAGTTTCAAGCCTTGTTTCTAGGTGCCTGGAATCTTGATTACTATGTCTTAATAACATCATTATATTCTCTTGTCATGAAACACAGCAGAAATGACCCTTCCCCACTGATCCATGTATCCTTCAGGGCACTGGCTTCTAGTCATGTGCATTCCTAGTAATGATTATTCAGGCCTGGACCATATATCAAAATTCCTACAGCCTTATTGGCTAGCATCGTACTTTAGAAATATGTCAAAGCCACAGTCCTTGATATTGAAAGGTTTTGGTTCAGATTAGGTAAGAATCGTCCCCCATCCTTCTCCATCAAGGCAAAACATTCACTCGTGAGTCTGCAGTACTTCAATACTTCCTGATGTTATTCATGAAGGCAAGTATACTTTCCTTAAAGGTAATACACATCCTCTGGAATGTGATATTTTTATAGTTGTATGTCATAAGTAGTGATAGTTTTTAATAAGAAAACTCAGCTTCCATTGCTTTTCCGAGAGAAGTAACGACTAAGACAAGTAAGATCAAGTGACTATGGAAATAAAGAACATAAATTATGTACAGTGAAGGATCAGGACAGGAGAAAATCTCACATAAAGCACTGTGTAGGCTGATAGTAGCCAAGGACACACTTAAATCAAGATTAAAATAAAAGCTAATCTCACACCTTTTTGTCTTCCCTCCAGATGATGCGTTTCTAGCAGATTGGAATTCTTTATCAGCCACAACTTTGTGAATCACTTTTTACAAAGGAAAAGATAAAACTCATCTTTGCATAAACTCTTACATATAAAAGAAAAGCTTACAAGACACCCAACCATTGGTTTTGGCACACCAACTGCCTGGAGCTGAGAGAGAAGAAAAGGGGTTGGCATGAAGTGTTTAGGATCGACGCCACCTGCCACCAGTAATGGTTTAAGTAGGAAACATTCAGAGGGAGCCCACAGCAGCCCAACTTCAGTTATTCTAGGTTTAGAACAATAAATAATTTTAATCAGATAGGTTCCAAAAAGCAAATGGCTCTCTACAGCTATAACTCAGCCTGAGTACGTGCTAGCAGAGCCTGGAAGATTAGTAGGCACTCTACATACAGAGCATAGACACCTGACCTTCCATAAAACCCATAACGTCTTAGGTAGAGTGAACACATATGTTGCAGAAGTTAAGCATGGTGGACTGGGAAAACAAATCTAATTTATTAACACAGATGGCATCTTTTGCCGACATCAACACAGGTCACCAAGTGAAGGATGTGTTGGGGTACAGATATTAATGAAGGGAGAGCAGCATGTGACAGCTTTAGCACTTTCGTTCCCAGAATCATGTCTCACGTCAGTCAGAAGGGTCTTATAGCAAAATTGTTTCACCGTGTGAACAACTAAATATCCTGGAAGGGGTCCCACATGAACCACCTCTCCAGGAGTCTCTAAGTAGAGGTAACCTGGCACTTTAGCGTTCTCTCTCTCTCTCTCTCTCTCTCTCTCTCTCTCTCTCACACACACACACACACACACACACACACACACACACACACACGTGTCTACATTTGATGAATAAGTCATTAAGACAGTTTGTAGGATGCTAAAGTGATTTCTTTTCTTATCAGGGCACATAGCCTTGTGTATATGTTCCAAGCTGCAATCCATCATTTCAAGGGAGTGTCTGGCCTGGGGAAGAGTTTATCATCTCATGGTTTAACACTGTGGTGAGTCTGATAATGGGCATTGGAGTTATAATGGGTGGAATGAGTGAAAGCCAGAGATGTGGTTAGGTTCTTATCCATGATTTGCTCAGTCTAAAATCAGTAGGTGTGTGAATGAGACAAACTTGAGTTTTACCTTCCATCACTGTGACCCACACTATAAATAAAGCTTGTTGATACAAAAATAATTTGTCACTTGGATGCCTCAACTATTCTCTGGGGAGAGAATCAAATAAAAATATCACAGCCAGAGAGATTTGGATGTCTTCCTTATTGCCACCTGCTTTGCTCACCCACCAGCCGTCTTCCAGACCTCGTTAGCCCCACGCTGCTCTTTTGCTGCGCTCTACCCTCAGCAATTCATTAATGTAAACAGTTGGGTCACTGCTGTGGTCAGCTGTCAGGGTCCTCTCTTTAAGTGGTTAGGAGGCTATGCACAGGCAAGATGGGTTTTTGTGTCCTCAGCAGAGGACAGCTCTTTATAGGTCCTGCCCATGGGTCTATGAAGAAAGTGAAGTCTGACTTAGCTCCGATTCTAGCTAAAGACTTCTGTGCATTAAAAGGCCAACTCACATTTATTGTAGATGCCATTATGCCTCTGAGTTGCAGAATGAATTCCAGTGACAAGCAAGAGATTTCTTTGATGGATTACTCCCCCCTCCTTCTTTTTCTTTTCTTTTTCTTTTTTGGGCCAGGGTCCTAACTAGTTAAGTTGGGGAGGGGGGTACCATCCAGTAATTTGGACAGAATTGAAAGAGAGCAGTTGAGACACAGTCTCTATCCTTTAACATTCTTGCTGGTTCTTCAACACAAGCTCGAAAGGCAGACTTTGCAATCACCTATTCCTTAATCGTGAAGTGGTGTACACAACCCCTAGTGTGACCTCAAAGCAGATATAAACAGTGAGTGTCCAGGAAATTTGCCCTCAAGCTGTTGGAGTAAACTGTTCACTTCAGCACAAGGGCTGGCTGGCTGGCTTGGGGTGGGGGTGGCGTTCAGACATGAATTTCAGTGTCAATGATTTGTGTTGAAAAAACGGGAAGACGAGATTTTCATCGCTGGTACTAAAACATGTTTACTCTCCACCGGCGGCCTCATCCCATCCCCAACTCTTCCCAGCTTGGACCACGCAAGACTTACTTGCCCAGATGGGTTAGAAATAATCTAAACACGCACGCACCTGGTTTTGTTTGTCTGTTTGCCACTAGGGGACTATCAAGAAGAAAGTGTCAGATATGGTAACACAAAGGTCGTGGCGTTAAGAGTGCTGGATCTGGGGAGCTGCCTGCTGAGTGCACTTTTCTCTCCTGGCCCGAGGTTGGCATAAAATGGCATCCGTTTCAGAATAAAGGCAGCCAAAGCCTGTCGGAGGGAATTTCCGCCAAGCAGTTTAGCCAACAGTGAAAGATCCCCTCTCGGTAGGGGTGCCCGGGAGAAGGCTAGTCTGCTGCGGTGTTGTCCCTTGGCCTCTTCCCACGCGGCACCCCTAACTAAGCTCCGCCACTGTCCCAACTCTTCTCCCACTTGCCGGTCTCAGTCCGGCTCAAACTGGGCTCACCCAGACCGCAGCTGGAGAATTCCGAGAGGGCAGGGGACCGGAAGGCAGCCACCCAGAAAGGTCTCAGGACTGCCCAGCCCGGGGCCGGGAGACAGCGGGGTGGCACGGCGGGAGGTACTGCCCTCTGCTCTCCGGGGCGGGAAGGGCTCCCTCCCCTCCTGACTCACCTGCAGCTGCGGCTCGGAAACTGCGGACGGTGTTGCCACCGCGCAGGGGCTGGGGACCCAGGGGCTGCGAGCCGGGCGTCCGGGTGTCCTGAACTCTACTACCGCCGCTGTACCTATCATAGAGCCACAGCATATGCTCCGACACCTTGTCGTGGGGCGGCAGGTCCGGACTCGGGTCACCACCTGTCGTGCGGTCGTCTGTCCCAGCCCGGCGGGGCTCAGAGAGGTGCAGGCTCGGTCTCTGTCCCTGCGCCAGGTTCAGGCAGAAGCAACCCAGCCACAGACACAGTAACCCACGCGCCCTGGCCATTGCGAGCTCCCGCTGTCGCGCCACGCTTGCTTCTTCGGGTCGTCTGGGGTACTCGGGAGGCGCAGGAGACGGAGGCAGGGTTCGGGTAGCGTTCCAGCGGTGGAGCTGGCGTCCGGAGCCGGGCACAGCTGGAGCGGGGCCGCGAGGGCCGGCAGGTGGGCTCTGAGTGGCAGACTCGCTGGTTCCACTCCCCTCAAGGACCGGAGGGCTGAAGGTCTCGACGTGCGTAGCCGGATTGTCATGCGAGGGCTCTCCCTCCCGCGCCACCTGAGGCTCGGGAACACCCGGCCAAGCGGCCGCGCTGGGGATCTGGATCTGCGCTCCACCGGCCTGGGACGCGCGCTGGGGCGGGGTGTGCGCGGTCGCAGCCAGCTGAGTTCTCAGTGGACGTGGTGTGTGAGTGAGGAGTGAGGTGTGTGTGTGTGTGTGTGTGTGTGTGTGTGTGTGAGAGAGAGAGAGAGAGAGAGAGAGAGAGAGAGAGAGAGAGAGAGAG